ATTGGAGAAGGAATAATTAAATAGCTATATATATATATACATATATATATATTCTGTTTGCATACATTACTTTTATTCTTTTATGAAACTCTTTTTCATTTTAACTTAAGATTAAAACCTTACTTTATATGAAAAAATATAGTGTAGTCAGTGGAAAGCCTCAGGAAAAAAACCTCTTTACTTCAATACCATTTCCCAGGCTGCTTTTCTTGTAAATTTTCTCTCACCTTCGGAGATGCCCTGGATGTTAGGAGCTGGAGTATAAAAAAGACAAAAAAAACATTACCAAGATGGCCAGATTCAAGACATCTTCCCTCTATGTGCCCTCATAATTAAAGTTTTTAGTAAGGCCATCAAATATTCAGGTACTATAATGGCAATATCCACAACAAGAAATGATCTAATCTTTAAGCATATCTGTAAGCATGGTTTTGAATTTGCTATAGGCAAATTTATTAAGAGTAAAGGAAGCCATCAGTCCAAACTTCCTTGAACAACTTTTTAAAAGATGTCTACATCTAAACTCTCTGTAGAAAGCCATTTTAAATTCTAAGAAGGCATATGGAATTAGTGTTAAATCATTGTTGTGGTGCCATTAAGGCAGTATGGCCTCCTGGATAGAAAGTGGATCTCAGGAGTTGGGGAGATCTGTGCTCACGTCTCATTTCTGACATATACTGGCTGTGTAACTGTGGGTGAGTTGCTTAACCCACAATGCCACAGAAAACTGTCAAAAATTATAAGTTCCAGAAAACAGTACCAATTGGCATTAGCTAGGTATCTTTTATTTTTCAGGCAATTGGGGTTAAATGACTTGCCCAGCATCACACAGCTAGTAAGTGTCAAGTGTTTGGTCTGAGGCAGGATTTAAACTCGGGACCACCTGACTTTAGGGCTGGTGCTCTATCCACTGTGCCCCCTAGCTGCCCCCTTTTAGCTACATATCCTAAAATAGGGTTCTTGTTTATTGTATACATGGGCGCCTTGTGTAGTCTGTCTGTCTATCTATCCATCTGTCTATAATCTATATATGTATTCTACATATGTAAATCATATCTTTCTATGTATATATATGTGTACATACATGTATGCATGCATGTATACATAGGTATATATACACACTATATATAGCATATATATATATATATTATTATACACACACACACACAACATAGACAGAGGTAGATAGATAAATAGATGATAGGGTGTGTGTGTGTGTGTGTGTGTGTGTGTGTGTGTGAGAGAGAGAGAGAGAGAGAGAGAGAGAGAGAGAGAGAGAGAGAGAGAGATGTGGCTCAAAGGGCAAAAAAAATAGATCTCTCTACTGTCTCCTCCCACTATTCTGGCCAAAAGCTTGACCTCTCTGCTCTCCTCAGAAATACGGGTACTGGAGTGCAGCTATATCCATCTGCTCTCTTAAATGTTGTTAGTCTAGGGGAGTTAACTTTAAGGTGCAATATAGACTTCTTATCACATTTCCTTAATGAAAAAAGGGCAGAGCAAGCTAAGGTAAATACGGTATCTAATAGTGAAGAAATGTATTCCTCCAGATTCATAGCAAAATAGAAATCAGAGAAAATAAGCATATGAGATTATATACCAGACAATACAGATTGAGGGACCTCTCCCATTGGGAGTGGGATATCTCAGCTCAATCAAAAGGGAGAGTGTCACATCTCATCCCAAGGGAAACATTCCTCAAAATCTCTAGTATAGCTGTGTATAAGGACATAATAAAGGCTACCAGCTTCTCTCATGCCCACTTCTACACAGTCTTTTTACTTTTTTGTTTTTAATGTGAGGCAATTGGGTTTAAGTGGCTTGCCTAGAGTCACACAGCTAGTGGGTATATTAAATCTGAGGTCGGATTTGATTTCAGGTCCTCCTGACTCCAAGGTCGGTGCTCTATCCACTGCACCACCAAGCTGCCACCACACAGTCTTTTTCTCCCTTCAGTGACATAGAGGTTGACATCATGCATCCTCCTTCTCAAAATTGGAAGCCAAAAGAATCAAGAATCTTTCTCCTCTCTTGCTCTCAGCAATGCCTGCCCTTCATGCACGTGTGGGACATTTAATAATCAATCTTCACCAATATGAAGAGAGTCTCATACCTATGGCCTTTGGGGCTCAGGTTACATTCATATTTTCTCTTATTTAAATTATAGACATTTATATGATACCCAGTTCCTGGCGAAGACCATAAGCTGCAATTATAGCATTGCTTCTATGGGAAACTGTGATTCATTTTACAATGTGGTTATGAGAAAACTATTGGTTTGAAAAGCAGTGTAAATTGTGATTCGATAACTTTTTAAGTTCATTATGTTTAAACTTTTATAATTACTTTCTGTATAGCAACTCTTAAAAGTACCTTATACTTTATTATTATTAATTATATTCTCTGCTGGCGATGTTACTAAAAGATTAAGAACAGGAGGAAAATAAAAAAAAAGTTTTAAAGTCAGAATTGAAGCTAAAGCTTGTTATTTTTTGAAGCAAAGTATGTAGCTCACTGATATAAATAAATAGCAAACCAGCAGAGCCTGTATTACAGTGGGGGCCAAAATAGGACAGACCCTTCTCCATTGGAGAGCTGTTTATTTTGCTATTAATAATGGAAAAAGGGAGACCTTCAGATTATTTGCTTTGGGGCCCAGAATTTATATCCACTGCTGTAGTTATATTGCTTTTCAAATACTCAAACTGCTTTTTTTTTTCCTTCTGGCCACACAGGCCACAATTCAAAGCTGAGGAGAAGGACAAAGATGATTAGAAAATACTTTTCCTCCAGTCTACTTTAAAAGGGTAGTAAGGAATGGTGTGCTTTCCCCTACCTCTGAGGTTTTAAAACAGCCAGATATAGGCTAAAGAAACAGGTTGAATTACACTTTAGGGTTAAGAAATGCTACCCCCATTTTCCCTTCTGATGTGCTCACATGAATTTAATTTATTTTCATAACATCATCCTTGTGAGGTCTATAGGACCAAGTTCTACTAGCCTAATTTTATAGATGAAGACACATGGAGATCCAACATAATCGTGTGTTTGCAGAGCACACAACTGCTTTGACACTTGACATACAAACCTGATGGGGGGTTTTTGTTCTCATAATAGCACATTCATCTAATAAATTGGACCTTATGATTGTATGAGAGGAGAGGAATCCATTTATCCATTTCTTGGAAAAATTTACATTCAGCGCTTTCTATAGAAGTCCTCTCTTTTCTGCTTTTCTCCCTCAGATTACTTAAAACCACAGATAGTGCAATTTTTGGAAGATGTAAGATTCGTCAATGAGAAAGGAAGAATTATGAGGGAGTTAGGGAAAAGGATAATGTTTTGACTACTTGGAGGAACTTGGTTTCTGAGCTTTTCCCCTTTCTACTTTTGTGTTAGCAAGTATCAGATATATTTTCTTCTTTGATTCAAACCTTAGGTAATACTTAGACTACAGGATTATTAACTCTTCTTTTCCTAGATGTCTTTCTTCATGTGGGAAGTATGGATATTTGAGAAGTTGAAGTTGTTATGGAAGCAATGCCTCCATGATTTCACAACTTGATACCTAAACAATGCTTGCCTATATTTTCCCCAGTTTGTTATTAAGACTAGAGCTTGTATGAAAGCTTCCTTAAATCAATTGATTAACAAATATTTATCAAATGGTTGGACATTGCACTGGGCAAGGTGAGGAAGCAGAAAGAGAGTAAAATATGATATGGGTTTTCAGGGGAACTTATCTTTTAGATTAGACATGGAACTTAAATCACATGAAGCATGGCACAGTGGAAAGCGAAGGAAAGAATCAAGAGGTCTGGGTTTGAATACTGGCTCTACTATTTGTTAGCTGTTTGAAATATGCAAATCATTTATTGTATTACTATGTCTCATCTTCCTTATCTGTCAACCAAGGATGCAAGTATTTGTGCTGCCCACTTCACAAGGCTGCTTTGAGGAAAATGTTTGGTAAAACTGAAAGTGCTATATAAATGTGATGCTGCTATTATAAATATAGAATTATAGAAAAGGGTAAATGCTAACCTGTTTGGTAGAAACTATTAAAATCAATAAGAATTTATTGAGTACTAAGCATGGGACATATATTCAAAATAAATGTAGTACTTTAATAATATTATGGTATTATAGACATCTTAAAATGTTAGAGGAGAGGGAGATTTATGGGGTATCCACAGAAACTATTATAGTGGAGAGTAGAACTTAGGTGAGGTGGAGAAGGAAGAATATTCCAGGACAAGGTGAGTTCCATGAAATGGAAAGGGAAATGGAAGAGATGTGGCAGAGTGAAGGGACTTGACTTGACTCATGCAGTATTAATTACCAAACATTGGCAATTAGTGAACTAGCAAAATAGAAAAAGAATTCAAGATATTTAAAACTAGAATTGTTTGGTAATGGCCATAGATACTATAGTACAATTGTTCTATAGTTCAGTGAAGTCTAGTGTAATCAGTGAGATATGTTTTAATTATATTTATTGAATTATGGGTAAGTTTTAGATATATACGAAAGAGGACAATATTATATGTGAAGGGAAGTACATGAGAGAAGTTACTAGGGCAGAAAGGAGCAACAAAATAATAATATTCCTCAAGCAGCAGTTGTATACTGAGATGTATCAGGAAATAGATTTGAATAGATGAGATAGGAATATAATTGTAGGGTCTTAGAAGCCTGACAAAGGTGTTTATACTTGTAAAAACAACAGAGACTGAAGATTTTAAAGTAGTGTCATGATGTGACAAGAATTATCATAGGAGTAGATATGAGAAACTAACAAAGGAAGAAATGAAGAAATAGAGATTGACTGGATGTAGGGAATGATGGCAAAGACTTAGTTAAAGATGGCTCCAAGTTTGCAAACTTTTATAGGAAAATGATAGTGGCGTTAATGGGAATGAGGAAGTTAGAAGAGGGAGCTGCTTTCTGCTTTGTTTTGGAGGGGCTGTGATTTTAGTCTGGGATGTGTTGTGTTTCAGATGATGGAAGAGATCCAAATGGGAATGTCCACTGGGCAATTATGGATATGGAAATTAGAGCTCAGATGAGAGAAAATAAAGATTTGGAAGACAAGGTCAAGATTTGGAAGCATTAGTATGAAGGCCACAATTGAAGCCATGGAAATGGATAAGTTCTTTAATGGTGAGAGAGCAGAAAGTTATCAGAAGACCGAAGACTGAGCCTTGGTGCATATCCAAGGTCAAGGGGTGGGAGCAATGCAGGCTTCACCAAAAAGATAAAAATTATTCTTCACAAAGTAGATATCTTACAAATGTTTTGAGATAGGAGAGAAAGCAACTTAGAGCACTTGTGTTATAGATTATCCTAATTGTTTGAACAATCCTATATTTGGAGGCATGTCATTAAATTTGTGCATGATAAGTTAAAAAAGATTAACTAGAGAAGATTTTGACACATCTTTCTAAGCTGGAGTGGTCATAAGTAAACTGAATAAAATTTAAAAGGGATTAGTGGAAGGAAAATTAATTGTATGACTATGAAGTAAACAGTGACTTACTAACCATGACATTAAATTGTATAGTAAACATAGCTGGCTAGAAACAGAAATGAGTCAGCAATTATTCAAAGAGAAATAAAATTTTCAGCTTCAGAAATAATAGGATATAGAAGCCATGTTGTAGTATTTTCATTATAATTGGAAAAAATTCTTAGTTTCTAACTACAAAATGTTCATAGTGTTTTGGTAGCATTTTTAGTGGATTTTTAGCAGGCCTTGGAATCTGGAGGACCTGAGTTCATGTCTTATTTCTTGATATACACTGGCATTGTGACCCAGGGCAAGTCATTTAACTTCTAAGTGTTGTCAATGCTCTGAGATCTAAGTTGCAGAGAAAGTGCCAACGAACATTGGGAGGAGTTTCCTAATTTGAGATTTTCCTACCTCATTGAAATTATAGATTCAGTTCCTGTCCCTCTGTCTGAGATCCAGGATAGTGCCACTCAATCAGTGGCTATTCAGGAAACATGAAGTAAAGAAAAAAAAGGATAATGAGTTCAGTTTTGAGCTCTCAAAATGCAAAAATAGGGAGTTGTCAAAGAAGTTTATAGGAAACTGAGTCATAGGATTCAGAGCTTTAAGAGCATTTAGTCCAACCCATTCATTACTACAGATGAGGAAACTGAAACCCAAAGAGGTTGAAGTTACTTTCCCAAGACATACAGGGCCAAATTGGGAGATTTAGGATTAGAATCCAGGTCCTCAGGTGGAGCCAAATCCAGGGCTTTTGACACTCCACAAAGCTATCTCTTCAAGGTAGAATTAAGTAAGTAAAGGCCTAATAAAAATGCTATAAAAGAAATAGTTGGAGGGATTGATAGAAATAATATCACCTGGAAAAGCTGAGCATGAAAGTTAATGAAATTTCTCATAACTGTGAAGGTTATTATTAAATGTCATTATTATTAAATCCATCATGAATGCTGGATTTCATTTCCAATGAAGACTGAAAAAGAGGAAGTGCAGTGTAAGGAACTTAGGTTAGACATAAGAACTTCCTGTTAGTCCCAAGGTGTTAAACACCTCAATGGGCTCCCAAAAGAGAATGGGTAATCTTCTCTGGAAACATTTCATAGAGTGGTTGCCTATCAACATGTTTATTGTTAATGTTTGCTTTGACACAATTTATCAAAATAAAATTTGATAAAAGCTCTTTGTTATTCCAAAATCCATGTATGCTTTTTAGAAGGTCTTGAAATTCATATGTTCTGTTTTGTCTATATTCAAAGTAACTTGAACTCTGAAAAGAAGTATCTATTTAAAAATATTGAATTCTGAAATCTACACACATACATATATGTATATGTATGTATATATTCATGCATATGCACATAGGTGTAAATGTGTGTGTGTGTATATATGTGTATATGTGTATATATATATCATGCACACACATACATACACACACACATATAATATCTTGGCTTACTGTCATGAAAATTCTAAATAGCATTTATAATAAAATTTAAACATGGTCAGAGTTGGTGAAAACCATTCTGTCCTATTCAAGGAGTTGAAGCAGGAGTTAAGCTGCAGATTCTGAAAGCTACACTCAGAGCTAAATTTCCCATAATTCCTAATTATTTTCTTAATAATCAGCACAAAGAAAGAACAAAAAAGCAAATATCAAATGAGCCCTTACATATGATCCTTCCTTCTCTTTGCCTGTATTATGCAATGCAGTGGGATACTAATAATAGCCTTCTAGGATATACTTCATGATTCCCTTTTGAGGAAAAGGGAGAAGAGCTCTCTCCCTGAGGCCTTTCCAGGTTGAATTTTGTTTAAAAATATTGCTCTGAACAAAATATTATTTTACCCTAGTAGGAATGGATCACAGAGATTATTTAGTAGGACTTATATCTCACTGAGAATCTTACTCACTGCAGCTCCATGACCTCACCAAAAGGGAGCCCACTACTTCCAAAACAGCTACTTCTGCATAGCAATAATTGTTAGGAAATCTTTCCTTTTTTTTTCATAAATTGAAATCTGCTTCTCTGAAACTTCAACCTACTATTCTCACAAGCCACAGGTATTTTAATCCCAAGTGATAACCACATGGTAGCACAACAATGAAAGTGGTCAGATGGGTCCTAATATGATTATAATAACAACAATAACAACAATGACAACAACAATAGTTAGCATTTATATAGCACTTCTTATGTGCCAGACACTGTGCTAAGTGCTTTACAATTGTTTTCTTATTTAATCTTCACAACAATCCTGGGAGGTAGGTGCTATTATTATACCCATTTACTGTTAAGAAACTGAGACAAAGAGTAGCTGGCCATGGGCCACACAGCTAATAAGCATCTGAGACTGAATTTTAATTCCTTACTCTAGGTCTGGCACTCTCTCCACTGTGTCATGTAGCTGCCACCAACTATAATATGTTATTATAATGTTTGGCCTATAATATAATAGGCTGTAGCTCTCAAAATTCTAGACAGTAGGGAAATATGTTCTAATTCTCAGATATTTACTAAGTATATGGCCCTAGCCAAGTCACTTAATTTCTTTGGGTCTCAGTTTCCTATCTGTAAAATGGCTTGATGACATTCTATGACACTATAACCTAATAATGTCTTTCCCTTCTTATTCCACTTGTTTTGGTGGTTGCTTCCTGACCGTCAGGACTCCTGCCTTAAAGTTAGGAAACGATCTTGTTCAAAAACACAACACAACGTCAGACAAGGAAGGTGTCTATCTACATAACTACATTCACTATTTGGGGTATGCAAGGAAGACCAAGTTGGTGCCATCTAGCTCAGGTGCCATCTCCTCTGTGAGGTATTCTATGATCTCTACATGGCCATGATCTCTACACATTCTATGATCTCTACAGGATCTGACCCCTTCCCCTTTTCCCTCAAGTTTTCTTGTAGTATACTTATTTATGTATACATAATATTCTCCAATAGAAGGTAAGCTTATTGAGGTGTGTGTGTGTGTGTGTGTGTGTGTGTGTGTGTGTGTGTGTGTGTGTATACACACACACACATACACACACATATATATGTGCTTCATAAATGTTTGTTTAATTTGCTCAGCCTATTTGATTTCTGTACCTAATATCTCACTGATCTTTAAACTATCATTGAATATTATCTCAAAATACTAATACACCAAGATGATGCACATATATATGTGTGCTTCATAAATGTTTGTCTAATTTGCTCAGCCTATTTGATTTCTGTACCTAATATCTCACTGATCTTTAAACTATCATTGAATATTATCTCAAAATACTAATACACCAAGATGATGCCCCCGACCTCATTATCAATACCACATTCACTTTCATTTGATTTTCCAGTAGTAGGGGATTTCTGCTGATTCATTCCCCTCTTTGCTTTGACTAATGGCATGTGTAAGATTACTGGCTGGGATTAGAGATGCAGGGCAGGACTGTGGAACAGAGAAAGTGAATCAGTTCACAAGGGCATTCCACCTGACCCCGGCTGCATTTTTAACTGAACTTTCGCCAGTGAGAAATACTGGCCACAGGCTTTGGTGTTGTATAGTGTGAGAAGAGGCTAAAAACTTCCTTAATAGTTCTGGACTACTATTAGACACCATATTACAAGTTACCGTTAAAAGTCTTTTTTTCTTTCAAATTTAGTTTTATTCCTCATAGACTACACTGAAATACAAAACTGATATCACTTACCCTGCTTCTTCCTTTGTTTTTCTCTTCTCCTTTTAAAAGGATAGCCCACATATTACCCACTCTCTAAAGCTTTCTCTGATCTCATCAGGTTGTAGTCATCTTTTTGTATTTGATGTGTCACTCAGTTTTATAAATATAATAATAATAATAATATTTGGACAGAACTTTAAGGTTTGTAAAGTGCTTTACACATATTATCTCAATCAGTCTTAACAATACTGGGAAGTACATAATGATTAAAACCACTTTACAGATAAGGAAACTGAGGCTAAATGAAGTTAAGTGTCTTGCTCTGAGTCACACGAGTAATAAGCACTTGGGGGAGTGTTATAAACTCTGGTCTTCCTAATTACAAGTTCACATTCTTATCTATTGGACTACTTATCTCCCTTACATCTCCAATGTGCTTATCATATAATATTGTACATATATTTGTATTTTATTTTAATAATTAATTATTTTTAGTTTTCAACATTCACTTCCATAAGATTTTGAGTTTTAAATTCCCCCCTCCCTATCCTAATAGTGTACATATATGTATAAATGTGTGTCTCCGTGTGTGTGCATGTGTGTGTGCGTGTGTATACACACATGAACAGTTACTGGTATTTGTGGCTTCTCTCTGGTAGCCACTTGTGGTGACTATATATGGTATTCCTTCCAGGGTCTAGCATGGTACCCTGTGCCCAACAGGTGCTTAAAAAATGTTGTTGGGATTTTTTCCCTTTTTTACATATGTGGAATGAATGAATATTTCCTGAAGAAAGTAATGAAATTGTTTCATTGTTTAAAGCTGTAAGATAAAGAATGTAAAGTGAAGAACTGAGTATCTATTTCTAACTCAAGATATGGAGAATAAGGATACAAAATTCCACAAGCAATTCTTAAATTCTTAAAGATACTCTACTTGGGAGTGCCATAAAACAATCAGGTATATGTTGTTAGTAA